TCGGGCTGGACCACACGTTTAATACTTATTTCACACACACACACTGATACACACACACGGAGGTATTGAATTACAACGGAATTTCAGGCAGCTGGCTGCAGGCCGTGTGTGTGTGTGTGTGTGTGTGTTTGGTATCTGGTTTCCACCATTCGCTGACCAACTAAGCAGAATAAACAGTGAAAATGAAAAATTGTGTGCGTTTAACAAACTGAAACGGCAGCGAGTGGCATCAGAGACACCAGGAGGAAGAGCACACGAGAGTTTAATCAGCATATTTTCCAATGGAAGAAACAAAATGCAGAGTGAGAAATGGACGTCCTGACTCGGATTGTGTTGGTTAATAATTCACTGGCTGCAGACAGGCTTGCAGAAGGATGTGAAATCAGCAGGTTTTCTGTGGCAGTTCTGACTTGGATGTTTTTCCTTCTTTTCCGTACAGGCTGGAGTTTCAGTGTCGTAGTTTCCAAAAATCAGGATGGCTCGAACTGCGTTTCAGCCACAAAGACAAACAGAACCCAATCACACTGCAGTGATTAAATGGTGATCAGCGTCTGTTAAATAAGAAAGTTTCCAGTGGGAGTTGTGAATTAGATCCTTTGAAGGGAAAGAAAAGCAGAGAAGAAAGACGGAAGAAAATGATTTCTCGTGGAAATTCTGACTGTGGGTTGTTTAGAGGACAGTCCTGTTTGCATTTCCTTAAATTAAACATTTAAGGAAATGCAACATTTAACGGTCCTTTAGAGAAACAGAAAGAAATCCCTAAAAGTCAATTTTCCCGTTTCTGCCTGATGTTGTTTTTTATGAAAGAGTGAAACACAAAGACAGTCGAACACTTTAGTGTCTGTTAGTTCTGCCAGTTTCCCTCGAGAGTTCTCCATTTGATAGCACCTGATGGATTAATTACTACATTTCTAATGGAAGTTCTGATTTACGTTCTGGGGGAAAAAAATCAGACATCTTTCTGTTCGATTGCTTTAAATCAGCGAGTTTTGAATTGGAGAAGCTTTGTGCTGAAGAAAGCCTTGATGGCAGTTTAAGTTCTGACTAAAGTGGAAAGTTTAGACATTCATCGAGTCAAAAGGGCTTGAAGACAAACGTGAGTTGGATTGAGCTTTAACCTCCTAGGACCTGGCGTCCACATATGTGGACATCATCACATTTTGGGTTGTCTAGACCAAAATACAAAATTTTGCTCTACAAGGGCCTGATATCCACTTACGAGGATGTTATACTCCGGAATTTACAGCACGTCCTCATATGTGGCTCTCATTTTTCTCAGAAACAAAAATCAGGTAAAAAACCAGTTAATTCTTTGTTTTTACATTCATCAGGACCCAATCAGCCCAAATAGCAAAGAGAAAATAAAAATGCGTCACATGAAAGAGTTCAGGTCTTAGGAGGTTAATACGAAAGTTTTCATTGCAAAGATTCACAGCTGGAGTTTGAAATCTGCAGTTTTCTGACCTAAATTCCCACAAAAACAACAGTTTGGATCATTAAAAAAAAGAGTTGATGAGCGTTACATAAGCAATGTTTAATAGAAGTTTTGAACTGGATAAGCTTTGCGCAGCAGAAAGCTTTGATGATGGTGAAATCTGCATCTGCCTGTTAGAAGTTCTGACTTTGAGAAAGTTTAAAAAAAGAGAAAACGGCTCGTCCTGGAAAAAAAATGACACGAGCAAATTTCCAGTGGGAGTCCTGATAGTGATTATGTTACTAAACAGTGTGCGCGTTCCACAGGAATAAAAGCACTCGAGACAGTTCTGACTTGGACTGATGGATTTTAATAAAGAAATTACACTTGATACAGAGATTTACAGCTGAAGTTTTAAATCAGCAGTTTTCCAAGAGACGTTCAAGGATGAAACAAACCAAGAGCTTGGTTCATTAAAGAAACAAACAGACTTGTTATATCACGGTTTCCTGATTCAGAGTTTTGAATCGTATACATTTTGCACTGAAGATCGACTCGGCGACGGTTAAATTAGTATCTTTTCTAATGGAAGTTGTGACTTGCATCTGAAATCAGGTGGAAACAGCTGCTGCTGGGCGTTAAAGCCGAATCTAATTGGATATGTGATTCAGAGCTCAGCTGGACATTCGAGTTTGTTCTCGTCACATGATCCTGTCGGTTAATGAAACTCGGAAGGAGTGCGTCTGTCAGCGCGCGCACACACACACACACACACACACAAACACACACATTCGTTTCCCGAGACTTGCTCAATCCACAAACTTCACAGTGAAAGTTAACGATTTATCTTAATGGCACTTTTTCTGTCGAGTCCCCACAACGTGAGTAATGCTCATCGCCGAAGCACACCCCGGGGCAACACAATACGACAGACGGATTGTGTCTCTGGGCGAGAGGTCAAAGGTCAGAGCGAGGCTGTGTGGGTGAGATCGCGACCTCGGGCTGTGCTCAGAACAAAGCAGGTGTTGACGGTTTGAATCCAGCCGGGAGTCACGAGTCAAAGGTCACTTCCTCTGTCGCTCTGTCACTCCCCCGTCACGTCTTCTTCTCCTCTTTCTCTGTTTCTCTTTCATCTTCTCCTGTTTACTTCTTTTCTTCCTCATCTTAATTTTCAGTCTCCCAGATTTCTGATTGCTGCTCGTTGACGTTTTTCATTGGTCGATGTCATGTTTGCTCCAGCTAAGAAAAAGGCTGTTTCGGAAAATAAGGCAAAAATTTGACTTTTGATGTGTTTTGTGGAAAAGGCTGAAAGATTCAGGATCATGTTTGCCTTTCTTGGCACGAGACTGGAAACTGGTGGAAACCAAACTGGTGGCCACATCCCCAGAGACCAGCTCCACCACCACCTCTGATTCCTACGGCGACCACAGCCACAAAAGTCCCATTTTGGAATTTGTTGTTTTTTGTTAGTTTCTTGTTTTCTGGTAAAAACTCACCTGAGAAAATGAAATTCAAAGATTTTTCTGAAACAGGTCGGTGTTTGTGTGGAATGTGGAAATTCATTTTTCTATAGATTACACCTTTAAATTCTATTTTACAGCACGTGTGTGTGTGTGTGTGTGTGTGTGTGTGTGTGTGTGTGTGTGTGTGTG